AATGGCAAACACACTGGGAGTTCTGGTACACCATGAGTTTGAGGCTAGCCTGGACTACATGAATCCCTGTGCAAAAAAAAAAAAAAAAAAAAGAGTAGGTTTTCTGTATTAGACATGGATGTATTACTGTAGTAATAATTTACCCACTCTTATTCAGACTCTAGGCTTGGTCTAAGAATTTAGAATTTTTAAAATTTGTTGTTGGTTTGTTTGATACATACATTCATTTAATTTTGAGAAAAGATTTTTTGTTTGTTTGTTTGTTTTTGGTTTTTCAAGACAGGGTTTCTCTGTAGCTTTGGAGCCTATCCTGGAACTAGATCTTGCAGACCAAGCTGGCTTCGAACATCCTGAGTGATGGGATTAAAGGTGTGCACCCAGCTGCTCAGTCTAGTCTTAAACCTGCTATGTTGCCAAGGATTGCTTTACAGTTCTGATCCTCCCACCTCCACCTCACTAGTATTAGAATTATAGCGTGCACCACCACACCTGGTTTATGTGATACTGGGGATTGAACCCAAGGCCTCATCCACACTGGGAAAATGGCCTAGCAGCTGAGGTCTATCTCCAGCCCTCTAATATTTATTATTAGAAAACTCTATGGTCTTTCTTAAGAGTCTAACATTAAGGTAGAGACTGAGTTTCTAGAACCAAGAGAGCTATGTTTCTTGAAAAGCACCCAGAGGAGTGCCCCGTGCACTGTGGAGGGAAGTTAATTCTTTGATTTCCAATTTACAGTTTTTAGGATAGAAAAGTGGGGCACAAGGTGGCTCTTGTCTGCCATCCCAGCACTGCAGAGACCAGAGTAGGACTGCTACATGTTCAGGGAACTCTGGTCGACCAGTTCAGCCAGAGACACAGCAAGACCTGCGATCTCCCTTCCCGAGATAGTCTCGCTCTGTAGCCCAGGGTGACCTCAAATTCATAATTCTTGTGCCTCTGCTTCCCAAGTGCTAGGGTTATGGGCAGGCAGCCCAGCACCCAGGTAGGAATTTATTCTGCTTTTTACCTTGAACATCCAAAAACTGATGTTTATATATGTTTTGGCGAGAAAAAAATCAAAAACGCTCATGACTGGCCTCATCAGTTGTGTGATTTAACCAATTTCCTCAGGTGTCTGGTAACTTACCATGTTAGCTGATGCAGTGGATAATGTGAGACATTTATTTATTTACTTATTTATTTGATTTTTTTTTATTTTTATTTTTTATTTTTTTTTAGACAGGGTTTCTCTGTGTAGCTTTGGAGCCTGTCCTGGAACTTGCTCTGTAGATCAGGCTGGCCCCTTTGGACCCCACCAGGGGCTAGATACCTTTGATGAGTGGATGGACAGATAAGAAAAAAAAGATTGCTTGCTTGTCTTTCAGAAGAGTGGAGTTCACAGCCCAGCCTCTTAGTGGCTCACAACTGACTGTAATTCCATCTCCAGGGGGTCCAACACTCTCTTTTGGCATCCAGGGGCACCAGCACATACTCAGACATAGACACCCAAATAAATAAACATTAAATTTCCAAAACAAAGAATTATTCTCCAATAATGCAGACGTTCCTCCACCCCCCAGAAGCTGGAGGCAAGGAAACATGGACCCTGAAGCCCACCAGGGAAATGCAGTTCTGTCCACCCTAGTGGGATGCCAAACTTTCAGGAGACTGGACTTCCAACATGTATGACTGAAACCTGCTGTTTATATTGTTTTAAGTCACCAAATTTGAAGTAGTTCAGAAACCCACACAGGCAATTCTCTCTTACGTAATGGTAACTTGTGCATTCCAAGATGTGTGTCCACTTCATTTTATTCTTCTTACTGGACCGATGTTGGCTGTGTGTGGCAGTCCTAACAAGTCTTGGCACTGTAAGGTAGATGGTGATGTCTTTGCAGTTGAACTGCCGAGCATCTCTTCTTTGCTGCTCCCCATCCTCCTTCTCCTCCCCACCCTTCCCTTTCTGGCCTATAACTTGTTACATGGAGCTCACCCTTGTAGCAATCTTCCTGCCTCTGCCTCCCAAATGCTGGGATCACAGGTATAACTGCCATAGCTGGAATAGGATGGGCCCATCTGAACCCATCAGTTTTATTGACTCAGTGAGCCAATTTTTGAGTTGATTTTTCTACTCATTTCCTAGTTTCTGTTTCATGATTTCCATTTTGAGTTTGCTTTCCTTGGTTTTTCCTTGTTAAATCTATAAATTAGTTCTAAAGCAATGAGTTAACTATAGCATGCGAGTTTTGATATGTTTTTTTTTTTAAAGATTTATTGTATACAGTGCTCTGCCTGCATCTATGTCTGCACACCAGAAAAAGGGACCAGAGCTCAGAGATTGTTGTGAGCCACCATGTGGTTGCTTGGAATTGAACTCAGAATCTCTGGAAGAGTAGCCAGTGCTCGTAACCTCTGAACTATCTATCCCTCTATCCCTGATATGTTGAAGTTTTACTGTCATATAGATAAAACTTTCAATTTATTTGTTCCTTTACTTGAAAATTTAAAAGGTGTCATTTATTTTAAAATTATGCATATATGTGCATCTACTCACCATGGCCAGAGGTTTCCGTGGAGCTGGAGTTACAGGTGGTTGAGAGCTTGGACACTCTGGGAGCAGTACCCAAGCATTCTTAATTACTAACACTCATTTCTTCATTGTGGGGGGGGGGAGGGAGGAGAGAACAGGGAGGGAGGAAGAGAGGGAGATAAAAGAGAGGGAAGAGAGGGGTTGGAGAGCAAGATTTGGGGAAGAGAGAAACGGGGGAGAGAAGCAAGGTCACAAATGATGGAGTACAAATTGGTCTCAAACTATCAGATACCTCATATAGGTGAAATAAAAAATATTTCTCATTTTTAGTCTTACTGGTTTTCAGTTAACTCAGTTTACATATATTGCCCAAGGCTCACAGGTGGGAAAGGGGCCAAAGATGCATGTTTGTCCGTCAAAAATAATTTTTGAAATAGGGTCTCACTATGTAGTCCAGGCTGGCCTGGAATTCTTTTTATTGTGTATGTTTTGCCTGGCATCTGCAAAGACTAGAAGGTGGTACCAGGTACTTTAGAATAGGATTACAAGATGGTTGTGAGCTGCCATGTGGGTGCTGGAAACTGAACCCAGGTCCTCTGAAAGAATAGCAAGAGACTCTAGCTGCTAAGTAATGCCTTTAGGCTCTGGCCTCAAATTCTGTATCTTCCTTCCTTAGCTTCCTGAGTGCTGAGACAACAGGTGTGCATCACCATGTTTGACTATATACCTGCATTTCTGATTAGCATTCTAGAATAAAATAGGGTAAGACTTCTGGTTCAAAGAAGTCTTTGAACATATTTGATATGAGCCACATTTTAGATGTATTTATATATATGCTTTTAATAAGTTTAGCTGACATTAAACTCTTGATCTTGTGGGATTTTGGTGGGGCATGTCCTTAATCCTAGCACTCAAGAGGCAGAGGCAGGCAGATCTTTGTGAGCTCAAGGCCAGCCTGGTCTACAGTGTGAGTCCCAGGACAGCCAAGATTACACAGAGAACCCTGTCTTGAATCACTCCCCCACCCAAATTCTTGATCCTCCTGTTTCAGCCCCCCAGTGCTTTTTTAGTATGCCTTTTTTTTTCTTTTCTACAGTATGTTTTCTCGTTAATGGATGAGCTGGAAGTAATGCTCCTCATCTTTCTGCCCAAAGATAATGTTGTTTTGAAGCAGTATCACTATGTAGCCCACGCTGGTCTTTAACTCATGGTCCTGCATCAGCCTAACTGCTGGGCTTACAGGGATGTATAACCATGTCTGGTTTTGACAGCTTTAATATTCTTCACTAGTGGAATGGTTAACACTTTCTTTGCCTTCATGGTTTTATTGCTTTTAGTATTAACAAGTACAAGTTCAGCCTGGTGATGGTGGTGCACACCTTTAATCCTAGCACTCAGGAGGCAGAAACAGGCAGAACCCTGAGTTTGAGGCCAGCCTGGTCTACAGAGCTAGTGCCAGACAGCAGGACAGGCTCCAAAGCTACACAGAAACCCTGTCTCAAAGAAAAAAAGGTGCAAATTTGTACAATCAACCTATAGAATTTTAAAGTCAGACTCCACAATACCATTTTATAGTGCTAAATATAAAGGATTTAGTTATAAATACAAAGAAATATAATACATGACATGAAAAAAATTTACGCCATTGTTGGGGACTGTGGATCACCAGACCCTGAATTTCTTGTAAACAACTTGTCTTCCTCTGGTCTGAGTCGGCTGCAGCTGCTCTGAGTGTGAGACCCTGAAGACAGGGGAGTGGGTTCTGAAGAGTCTGCAGCTGAAAGATCCCGAGAGCTGGGGCGTGGCCAGAGCCCTGTATAAGCTGCCCTGAGCACAATAAAGTGGACATTCTTGTATCAAGGATGACCCGTGTGTGTCCATGTCTCTGTGTGTGTGTGTATTTTTAAGTTTCCAGGCCCAGTATCCGGCTCGCATATCGACCTGTAGTGGCCCGGGCACTACAGGCGTAGTACCGTATAGCAGGCGCTGTGCTGTACACATCGTAACCCTTTCTGCTTCAAATTCAATAAATGTTTAACAAAAACCTAGTAGAAATAATGTGGAGATGGATGGCTGGGAGAAAGACAGAAAAAAACAAAACACCCTCCCTGTCCTTTTACAGAAGGGCAAAGACAGACCCATGAAAAGAGATAGGAAATGAGTGCTGATTCTCGGGAGCAGATCTCAGACCACAGTCAAGTCTGTTAGAGCAAATTTACTATCTCATTTTGTTACATCAAGAAAAGGACTCATATACTGTTCGTGAAATAGTTTCACATTCCTACAGGAATCATGCTGGTGCTCAAAGTTTAGAACACTTTAGACAGCGGATTTTCAGATTTAACATTTGTACTGTTAAGGCAAGCTAGAAACACAGTATTTCAAAATTATTTTAAAATTTCTTTTGAAGTACATTATAGTAAATAAGTATTTGGATTTAAGTGTTCTTACATACTCAAATAATAAAAGCAATCTCTAGACCACAACAGCATTTTGTACAGTAAGATTTTATTTGAATAATATTTACAAAATAAATACAATTTTAATCACTAAGTTCTTCTTCATCACTGAAATATGTGCTTTTCTTTATCCTTGGTCGTCTGGAATCATCGGAGGCTGAGGGACCCCCTGGACTGGCTCTCCATCTGTTTTGCTCCTCTTCAATCTTGGCTTGCTGTAATATTCAGAAGCAGACAAAACCAGTTATGTATGGCACATCATGCTAATTCAATGGAATTACCATGAGAAGACCGGAACACAAACCATTTCCACCCTCCTAGGTCATACCGACAAATCCCAATCGTGGTCCTACTCAAAATTATCATAAGGAAATCTCCCAGTCCCATCCCTACCCCTGCTCCGCTACCCCCAAGATGTGTTGAACAAGATATGATGGAAGGATGATTTTGAACTTCTGAGCCTTCTGCCTCTACTTCCATAATGCTGGGGCTGCAACCCCAGCCCAGGATTATGCCGTGCTCGGATAAAACCCAGAGCATTGTGCATGTTAGCAACCAACCCTAGCCATTTTTGTTTTCCGGTTTGTTTTGACACAGGGTTTCACTATGCAGCTTATGTTGGCCTGGAACTTGTTAAGTAGTTCAGGCGGTGTGAACTCATGATCTTCTACCTCAGCCTTCTCAGGTGAGAATACAAGTACGAAATATGATCATTAGCTCGATCCTGGGCAATTTCTAAAGATTCTTTCTAGGTAAGCTAAAGACATTTTTAATCAAACTGCTGTTTTGATTTAAACAATAATTTTACCCAGGCTGGTCTTGAACTCCTGATCCTATCTCTACTTCATATGTGTTGGGATTACAGTTGTACTAACACAGCCAGCTAATCCATTGGTTTTCAACCTGTGGGTTGTGACCCCTTCGGAGGTCATATATCAGATAATTCTGTCTGCATATCAGATATTTACATTATGATTCATAACTGTAGTAAAATTATAGCTATGAAGTAGTGATGTAATAATTTTATGATGGGGGTAACCACATGAGGACCTGTATTAAAGGGTTGCACCATTAGAAAGGTTGAGAACCACTGAGCTGATCCAATACTTCCACCACCTAATTTTGTAATTAAGACAGATTAATAATATACTAAAAGTATAGACTAAAATAATATACTAAAAGTATATTATTATATTATGGGATCTTACAGCCTAGAAAGAGAACTTTTCATTCAGATAAAGACCTAAGAATGCGTTACCTCAAATTTACTCAGTGAAAGGAAAACAGATTACATGATGATCAACACGGTGATGAAAGAATATAAACTTTAACATGACGTACACCACAGTGCCTTGTATTATTTATACATTTTAAAATTTATTTATTCAGTTTTTGAGACAGGGTTTCACTCTGTAGTCCAGGATAGGTTTAAACCCATCTTCCTGTCTACACTGCTAAGTGTCAAGTTCACAGGCATGGCCCTGTGAATACTTACTACAAAGTTTCTTCAGGCGGGTCTTGAATTCCTAGGCTCATATGGTTCACTGAGCTAGGTCCCCAGGCACCACTGATCCCTTGAGAACATCAATACCTGAAACGCTATGGCCTGACTGAGACTGTCCAGAGCCGGATCTTCTCCTTCTTCTTCACTCACTTCGACTTCCTCGCTAGGTCAGCAAAAGAAAAAAATTCAGCTACAGTCAGCTAACAGCAAAAAGGCAAAACCACACATCATCTTAGTGAGTATATGATACATACACCTCTTCTTCTGGTTCAGGAACTTTCTTCTTTTTCTTCTTTTCTTTCTTCTTGGGAGGCTCACGTTCTCCAAGCATGTTTTTAGGACAGGCATAACTTAAGTGTCCGCTTTCCTTTTGTTTCACATAAAAAAAAAAAAAAGAAAGAAAAAAAAGAAAAAGAATAAAGACGACAGCTGCTGTTATTGAAGGAACCTGCCCTGGCCCTGTGAATGAAAGGCTAGAATCCAGGAAACCATATTCTCATTGTGGGAACATAGGACCAGACGCGGTCCTTCCCAATAGAAGAGGCAGAGTGTGGGCTACTCTAAGGACTAGCATCTGCAGTGATAAACTAGGGAGCAAAGAAGTATTTTTCCTCAAAATATTAAATCTCAACTTTTGCCACACAAAAGAATTCTAAATTTAAATGGATCATCAAGTCTAATAAAAACTTTACATTAGCTTGATAAAAGGGGATAAAATTATTTCTATTACCTTGTAAGATGTTGTTGACTATTCAGCTTTAAGAACAAGTGGAGGCTGGGGATACAGGTCAGGGGCAGAGCACCCGCATGGTGGGCACAGAGCCGGGGTTGAGTCCCAGCACCACGCTCGTTTCTTTTTCTTACATGCGTGGCTTGCATTATCATCCTATTTTGCTGAGTTGGATTATTATAAGGAGGTAGAATACTGCATTATAAAACATAGGCGCTCTGAGCTACAATCTATACATTAGCTTACTAAACTACATGAAATAGTATTGTTAACTTGTGGAGGAGAGACTGAGTCAATATTACAACAGAAAAAATTTTTTATTTTTTTTTGGGGGGGATATTTGAGGTTTCTCTGTGTGATAGTCCTAGCTGTCCTAGAACTCACTTTGTAGACCAGGCTGGCCTCAAACTCACTGAGATCCACCTGCCTCTGCTTCCTGAGTGCTGGGATTAAGGGTACCACCACTGCCCAGTGGAAAAAAATTATTTGACAATGCCTTAAATAATCTGTACTCTGTATTTGGCATATGGCTGAATCCAAGAAGCACTATTTACTGTTAATTTACTATGGAGAGAATTCTACTGTGTTTTGGAATAACAGTACCAAAAGGTGTTAACTCGTATTATTAAAGAAAAAGATCCCTACTTAAAAATAGCTCTGGGAAAAATCAGGATATATAAATGCAAACAGATTTTTTTAAGGGGGAAAAATTAAAGAACTATACTATGTACAGAGGTGTGTTATGTATTTCCGTTGCTGCAGTGCCTGCCCTAGCATATACAAAGCACTGGGTTGGATTCCCCTGCCACATATAAAGCCCTTGTCTGTAGTCACCACAGGCTGGAAGTGGAGGAGGAGAAGAGCTTTAAAGCCATCTTCTGCTACATAACATGTTTAAGGCTAGCCTGTGTTAGAGGCACTGTTTTTAAATTAATAAAAAGTACTAACCCTGGTTTGGCGGCACATAACTCTGACTCCGGCACAGGCAGGCACCTCTTTCTGAGTTTGAGGCCAGCCTCCCAGTGAGTTCCAGATCAGCTGAGTTTATATAATGTGACAAGGCAAATAAACAAAAGGCCCCCAACAATAAATAATGAGACTATACAAAGTATGACAGTAACAAATCTGTCTCAATCAATAAAATCAAAGGGAATATTTGACTCTCAAATTATTTAGCCTTTCTCAGATGATCTGTATTAGCTATAAACATGGAGAGTAAGGATATTCTTACACAAACAAACAGATCAAACAAAGAGAGAGTTTCTTTATGGCCTACGCTAGCCAAGAATTCAGCATGTAGCTCAAGATAACCCTGAGTTCGAGGTCCTTCTACCTGAGCCTCCTGACTGCTGGGACTACAGGTTTGTGCTGCTATGCTCAGTCAGCACTGTTCTTTTTACAAACATAACTTAGGACTCTAGAACCCTTTCAAAACAATCTTTTAACAGGATTTAAACGACTAAATTAGTAAGTACTCATTCTACATTTACTTCCTTTCTACTTATCCACCTACCTGTCTACAATGCATCTTTTCTTGGCCAACAGGGTAAGGAGTGGCAGCTGGAGGGAGGAGGTGATTGAATGAAAATGGCCAACATAGGCTCATGTATTTGAATACTTGGTCCCCAGGTGGTGGAACTGTTTGGAAAGGATTAGAAGGTGTGGCTTTATTGGAGATGTATCACTAGGGGTGGGCTTTGAGGTTTCCAAAGACTGGTACCAATCTCAGTGTGTCCCCTTGTTGTTTCCTGTCTGTGGATCTTCTATGAGCGCTCAGCAACTGCTCTAGGGCCATTCCTGCTTGTCTACTATTGTGCTCCTGCCAGGATGGTGATGGACTCCTAAACCTCTGGAAATGTAAGTCTGAAACAAACCCTTCTTGATATAAATTGCATTGATCACTGTTTTATCACAGCAACAGAGAAGTAACTAAGGTGTCAAGCTATTTCAAGTGTCTTCCCTGATCCCTTGTAGCTAAGACAATGTCTTACAGAAATTATCCCTCTCTCTCTCAAGTAATACTCTGCAGTCAGCGTTTAAGTATTTTATATCACCACTTTTAGGAATTGACAGCTATGAGACTCAGATTGAAATTCTCTCGGTACTAAAAAGGTGTGGTGCAGCACACCTATATAGCTTTGGCTACTTAAAAGGTTAGGATGGGAGAGCAATCACTCCAGGCCATGAGTTTACTACTAAGCTTGGGAACATCATACAATCCTGTCCCAACAACAATTAAAAGAGGAGTTCAATCTGTTATCTTAGAGTATGGTCATACAATCACATTGATAGTGAACTCTGATGCTTAAACACTCATGGCAACAACAATAAAATACATGCAATATCCAATTAACAGAAATTATTAGTTGCTTAAAATCTTTCAAGACATTAAAAAAATCATTAGCTTTTTTTTTTTTGGCTTTTGTGACAGGATTTTTCTGTGTAGCCCTGGCTGACCTGGAACTCAGTCTGTAGACCAGACTGGCCTTGAATTTACAGAGATTCTCCTGCCTTTACCTCCCAAGTGCTGGGATTAAAGGTGTATGCCACCTGTATTTTTAGAAAACAACTTCGAAGATTCAGAAACTGGTAAAATTATTTTATATTATCTACCCTGGGTATTTTTATTCTCTCCCTCTCTCTTTTTGCTTTGTGATACTGAGGATTGAACCATAATCTTTTAGCAGGCCAGGCAATCTCCCTGCCACTCATCTCTGCCGAGGGTCCCACCCCAAGTATCTTTAGATACTATTATTTTACGTTTTATATATTATTATGTGGTGGACACGCATTTGCCACAGTCTGAGTGTGGAGGTCAGAGGACAACTTTGCGGACTAGGTTCTCTTCCACCTTTACATGGGTTCCTAGGATCGAACTCAGGTCATTAGGCATGCATGGCGAACACCTTTACCCACAGAGTCATTTCAGTAATGTTTACGCAGATGAGTTTATGTTGGTGTTCAGGCATCTGTACTGACCTGTCCTTGAGGTCCTGACAGGACACCGCCTCAGCTGCAGCCACTGTGCACATTCACTATGTTCCCTTTTCTTCCTGCTTCTCTGACTATCTGTCTTTTCTCTCCTACTGTTCCTGTCTCCAGAGGCTGGTCTCCCCTTTCCCCTGCCCTCTTTTCCCATTTTCTCCCAATAGAAAAATCCCTCCACCTGAGCTCTGCTGCATGGTGTCTTTCTCTCACACGCTGCTTTTTAAAAAATGACAACAATTTACACTCTCCAAGTCAAGTTGCTTTCATAATCTGGGTTTAGCCAGGCAGAAATTTTGGTGAGGAGTTTGGGGTTCAGCTCAGACAGTAGAGTGCTTGTGTGGCATGCAGAACACCTTGGTAACTCATAAACTAGAAGTGGTGGGACATGCTTGTAATGCCAGCATCTTAAATTCACGGTCATCCTCTGCTGCATGGGGAGTGTGTGCCAGTCTGTGCTACATTAGACCTATCTCAAACAAACTGAAAACAATCTCAACAAAAATGAAACTGTGGTGAGGCTGGGGAGATAACACGGCAGGTAAGAGGGCTTTAGCTGAAAGTTACTAGCTTAGCGCCAAGTTCAGAGACTCTTGTTTAAAGGGAGTAAGTGACACATCAGGCAGGATGTTTGGAGTCCTATATCCTTCACCCCCCAGAGTCTCCCTTTCCGTGAACACCCGCCTCCCCTGCAGGCACCACTAAAAGACTAATATGAAGATCACTTTCTACAGAAAAGTTACTGAATTTTAGGTTTACTTACCCCACACTCATAACACTTAGATTTATCAAAGTAGTTTCGCCGTCGGATGAACTCAGCTGCTCTTCCATTATCAATAGCAATGCTTGCCTTTATCACTCTACCAAATAACTAAATCAGAAAAATGTAAATACAGAAGATGTAGTTCACCAAGACTTAGTTATCAGAAACTGTCTCCTCAATTCTTGTTGTAATAAATGTGATAGATTCTATGCCATAATTTTCCCTTTAGAGTCTTCCAATGTTTTGATAACCCAGTACAATGCTGACATTGTTTTCCTAAAGGTAGCCACTCCTGAATTACAGATATTAATCAGACCTGATGATCTCCTGCAGCCCCACTGCTCTTGGTTTAGATGAACACATACACTTTTGGGTTACAACCTTGATGAAAAGAATGGCTTACCTGTTTGTTATTTATTGCTCTGGTGCAGTTTAAGGCAGAGTCTTTATCCAAAAACAAAATAAATGCAACACCTTTACTCTTCCTCGTGTCTTTGTCTTTCATTATAGTAACCCTTAAAGCACAAAGAATCAGTTAAAAATAAGACAAAAACTTGTAACTACTCAGGAAACTCACGATGATTTTTTTTTAAATCAGGTTAAATAATAAACCATTTGAAAAGAGAAAAAAAAATCATGATTAGTAGTAGAGGCTTGTGATCCTAACACTTGGCAGAGGGAAGTGGAAGGAACAGGAGTTCAGGGTCATTCTTGGCTAGAGAGCTTTAGGCTAGCCTAGGCTAGGAGATCCTGTCTAAGGAAAAACGATTTAAATCATCCAGTTTCTCAAAGTCCTGAGGGATGAAGGAAAATGGAAATGACAAAATGACACTGACAATACAGAAGCGTACCGCTAGAATTGGGAGCTATCAGAGCTTGAAAGGGTCTAGTTGAGAGACAGGCTGATGCAATTGTTACATCATTATCAACTATATATCAAAATGCCTATCCTCTTCCCTTGCAAAACCAAAAACACAAGCTGAGGCATTCTCTTGTACATAGAGAGCAAAATGATTTACTATTTTTCTTAAGTTTTAGATCCAAGTGTCTTCATTTCAAACAATTTCCAGCTTACTGGTCCTTAGCTCTTCCTCAGTGCCCCAGGCTATAGGGGTTGCTAACCACACATCATTTAGTGTAATTTAGAAGAACAATGCTTGAATCTGTCATGGTGGCACATGCTTAGAGTGCCAGGGCAGGAAGACTTTACCAAGCTGAAGGCTTGTATATAGTGAGAGGTAATGAGACACTGTCCTTTTGTTTATTCATTTGAGATTTTTATTTTATGTGCATGGGTATTTTGCCTTCATGTATGTCTGTGTTCTATGTATGTGTACTGCCTGAGTGTCAGGTGCTCTGGGAACTGGAATTACAGCCAACTGTTAGTTGCCAAGTAGGTGCTGGGAATCAAACCTGGGTACTCTGGAAGAACACTCAGTGTTCCTGATGGCTGAGCCTTTTCTCCAGCCTGAGGCTGTAGCAAATTCTTTTTGTTGTCCACCAGCTCACAAATAACAAGGTAACTTATTAAATATGAAAGCTTGGCCTTTAGCTTAGGTTTGTCTCAACTAGCTCTTATAACTTAAATTAACCCATTTATATTAATCTACATTCTGCCACATGACACTACCTCTCTTCCATCTTGTACCTCCTTTTTCTTCTCCACGTCTGGCTGGCAACCCCGCCTTTCTTCCCAGAGTTCTCTCTCTGCCCGTAAGTCCCACCTATCCCTCTTTTGTAGATATTAGCCATTTAGCTTTTTATTGCACCAACTACAGCAACACATCTTCACACAGCGTACAAATATTCTGTAACAACTTATAAAAACAGTGTGTACACATACATGTATATATTCAAACAGTCAAGGGAGTGCATGCTACAGAGCAAGTGGAAACACTAAAGACAGGTACATGTGGATAAGGTAACAGTGCTTTGTTGTACAAACATGAGTGAATTCCCAGCACTCACATAAAGGCTGGGCATGGCAGTCTTGGTGAGCAGAAACTGGTATATCCTAGGAGCTCACTGGGAAGCCTAGCAAAAGCAGTTAACCTCAGGTTTAGTGAGAGGTCCTGAGCTGAGAGAGGAAGTGAAGAGTGGTAGATCCAGGACACCTGAGGTCCTTCTGTCTTCTCTATGTGCACATGTCAAGGTGTGCACACAAGAACAAAAGGGAGGGCATGCTAGTTGTACTAGATACTTTATTCTTATTTGCTTTCACCTTTCACTCCTTGCTTATTGAAATCTGCCTTATTTACAGGGTTTAAGATTCTGTTTCTATCCTAATATATACTATGGAAATTCCTTCTCCTTTCTACTAATTAGGTTCTCCTTCATTCATCTATTTAATATAGATAATGCCTTGACTCATCTATTTTAATGTAAATCTTTTAATGCTACCATTGTAACCTGTTTATTTTGCCCATTACGTTGGAACAAAAACACATACATGTTTCCTAAAAAAGTACATCTACATGGTTGTTCATTTGAATACTCAGCCACTGTTATATTCAGGCTTGGGCAATGAACACTATAGAAAAAAAAAGTAATGCACCCCCAGGGAAAGGAAAGTTTAGTAATGGAGACACTGTAAACCAGTTACAATAGGGGCCACACTTATAGATCTCTTCTCTGGTAACAGGAAAAAAATATCATAGCAAGGACTTCAAAACAAAACAAGCAAATCTATAATGACTTCTGAGTTCCCAGCATGCAGAACGAGGTAGAGTACTACTGTTTTCAGATGTAGGATAAGTGTGAGGGGCTCATTCTTGCGTACACTGTGAAGCAGACACTATTCTGAAACACGGAGGCCATCCCATCACATTCTTCTTGCACACCCAGTCCTTATATACACCAAACATAACTGATTTAACTCCCAAATGCTCTCTCAAGGAAGAACAGACAGACAGTCTTTCCTTGTGACCATTTTGTTCCAGGTTTCTTCCATGGTGTAGTTACAGATTTAAGTCTAACTATCTCAATTTGCTCTCATTCCTCGATTAGCTGAGAATAACATCAAACTGGTCTACAGAGGGAATTATATTTACTTGGAGTTAATGAGGATTGGTAGTCCAGTAAAACAGATTCAAATAGTCTTGAAGATGTGCTCCAAGGATTTATAAAATAGTGCTATAGTTGCGGCTTTAAAACTACAAATGGGTTTGAAATCACAGCACTTCTTAGGAGTTACGACTGCTCAGTACTGGTCTCTAGGTAGTTTGGGGGCCAGCCCATCACACAAAGGTCAACAGAGGTTAAGAATGTTTCAAGGAGGGGGCTGGAGAGATGGCTCAGTGGTTAAGAGCATTGCCTGCTCTTCCAAAGGTCCTGAGTTCAATTCCTGGCAACCACATGGTGGCTCACAACCATCTGTAATGAGGTCTGGTGCCCTCTTCTGGCCTGCAGGCATACACACAGACAGAATATTGTATACATAATAAATAAATAAATTTTTTTTTTAAAAAAAAGAATGTTTCAAGGATTAACTCATGGGGTGGGAGGCATGTCTACAGCCAGTTCAAAGGTTTGGCTGTAGAGATATCTGACACCATTTTCACAGTGGTTTGACACCACCACGAGTACTGAGTCAATGTTACTCCAGTGTAATTTCCCCCCCTTCACATTTCCAACTAATCAAGAACAAGCTCTGAAACCTTCACGGAGCTCAGAGTTTAGGAGTACTCTTAGTAAGTCTGAGGCCCTGAGATCAGTTCTCAGCAATATTAAGACAATGCTATTAAACTATTACATATTTATAATACATAAAGTCATTTATGATATGAAAACTGTCAGGTGTTTATGTACATGGAAAAATAACTGAACTTTACATAAAAATGTTAACAGTAGTATTTTTATTTAATCAAGTATCTTGTAACATAACTACTTACTTCACAACTTTGCCATACTTGGAAAATATCTGAAACAAAAGATCACAGAATAATTTATAATTTAAAATATTACCAAAATTAAATATTCTGATTGTACACACTGACCAGATTCTTCACTATATTTTATGAAAAATTTCAGCCTTCAGTAACCATTAGATCATGACTTAGGGGCCACCTTGGGCAACACAGCAAAACCCTGAATCAACAATCAAACAAACCATTTTCTAAGTTACTAGAATAATATAGTTACTGGAATTAAAGGTAATCTACTTCAAGTTCCTAAACTCCCCGTAGGGAGTGGACGGAGAGAAGAAACCATCTACATGTCTAGATCTATGGCATAACACACTAGGTAGCAGCTGAATTCCTGATCTATGGGACTATCAACCCCAGCAGAGCTCGAGCTAAGCCTGTACTGCGGAATAGCACAGTACCAATGACTTAAACAATGTTTAAAGACAGACAGAGCTCTGATTAAATACATGACCAAAAGCTTCCTATAATAAAAAAAAGCATCTCCAGCTAGGAGTGTTATAAATGCCTATAATCCTAGTATTCAGAAGATCGAAGCAAGAAGACCATGAGTTTGAGGCAAGCCCAGGCTACAGAGCAAGACCTTGTTGGCAAAGATAACAAAAACAAAGCAAGGATCTTTTTATTTCTACAGGTGTGGTCCTTGTCCCATCATTAGTATAACAGTGGGACTTTCTTTCCTTGTACTTCTCCACACATCCTAACAAACTTTCCCATTTCGATAGTCTCAGCATCATTAATAGTTGACATTATTTAATGCTTAGAAATAATATTCCTAAGAAAAGGCCTCTAGACTTATTGTGGAGCCAGCCATGATAAGCTAAATAGAAACAGACCACCCAAAGGAAGTTCTTTACTTCCAACCATTATCACCTTCCAGAGTAGAACTCAGCCATCGATAACCTTAATGGAGGCCTGAGTCTCAGTAGTTTACCCTGAAGCCATACCTGGTTGCAGAAAGAACCATAAACTAAGATTACTTGAGCACCACCCAAGAACAGATCATCCAAAGGAAATGCCTAAAGTTCCAACCTTTGTAGATAGGATCACCTGCCAGCACACTTACCAGGACACCCTAGACAAATGTCAGCCAATCAGGGGTGCTGAGCCTTAGAAATCCCTCACCCCCACCTTTACCACTATAAAAACCCAACCCTAACTGAGCTCGCGGCTCTCCAGTTATTGCAATATGTTGGACACACAGAGAGACAGGGTTTGCAAACTTGTATAAAATAAAGGCTCTTTGGTTTTATATACGGGACTCGGTCTCCTTGTTGGCTTTTGGGGGACTTTGCAGATCTGGGCATAACACTTATCGCATACAGTTTGGTAATGAAATGTTGAGTTCTGGGTCTTAATGAAAGCAACACTAAATTCCAAGGCCAGCAGCTTCTGTGTAATTGTAACTTTCTAATGGGTTCTCATTTCAGAGTGAAGCTACAGAGATTGCCTTAATCAGGCCTGTACAGCAAGGGGAGAGTAAGTTTACTTATACTACCCCTCCTTGTGGAAATGATTGTGCTCTAGACACCTGTACAACTACTTCCTGCTGCTTCATAGCTTTATTCAAAAGTCACCTTTTGTTTGTTTGTGATGGGGTCTTCTGCATCCCAAGCTTGCCTCAAAGTCCCCATGTAGCTGAGGATGACATGGACTTACAATATTCATCTTCCAAATACTGGAATCATAGGTATCCATCATCAATCAACGCCCAGTTTATGTGGTGCCAGGGATCCCACACAGGGCTTTGTGCATTCAGGGCAAGCATTCTTCCAAACCCCTTACACTCCCAGCCACCAGTTATGGTTATTTCTTAGCACCCAGTCTAAGATTTCCCCTCCGAGGAAAATTTGGTATCCCTCTTTACTGCTCTCATTTGTGAGATGGGGTCTAAATTGCCCAGTCTGGCCTCCTGCCTCAGCTTCCCATGTGCTGGGATTACAGGAATGTGTAACTATGCTAGGCAAGTGGTCCAGCTTGGTTTTTGTTTGAGATAGCATACTATAGTTTCAGCTAGCCTTGAACTCACGATCTCTTGCCTCAGCTTTCAGACTGTCAGGATCAGAGGCACACATCATCATCTAGCTGTTTATAAAGCACATATTATTTTCTTTATATAAAATCAGTAGTGGTGCACGCCTTTAAGCACTTTGGAGACAGAAGCAGGTTGATCTCTGAGTTCAAAGCCAGCCTGATCTACAAATCGAGTTCCAGGACAGCCAGGCTATACAGAGAAAGCCTGTCTTGAAAAAACAAACGAAAAAACAAACAAACAAAAAAAGCAGGGTAAATTCTTTACGGAAGTTAAAATTTCAAATTATTTTTTATGAAAATTTACAGGAGATATCTACCAAGAATTTTCCAGAGAGCAGTAATTTGCTTAAACTACAGTCTCTCTCTCTCTGGATTTTCAAATCAGGGTTTCTCTAGTTTTTGGTACTGTCTTGGAACTAGCTCCTGTAGACCAGGCTGGTCTTGAACTCACCGAGAATCGCCTGCCTCCCTGGGATTAAAGGAGCGCCACACCACTGCCTGGCTTCTAAATTTTTTTTCTTTTCTTTTTTTGATTCAGTTTTTCTCTTAAAGAGAAAATTCATTAGTTAGATACTGATAGTAAAACTTACCCTGTATAAATCATTGTTCGTCAGGGAGAAGGGCAAGTTGGATACATAAACCGTGCTCTTACTTGGAGCCAAGCCACCACTCATTTCTAAAACGGAAAACAAACCATCAGGACTCTCATTCCAAATAAAACCAAACGCTGGCAATCACTGATTTCATTAAGGCAGCACTCCACAGCCTCCATTCAAGTAGAGATTAGAGTAGGTTCTGTGGGGGTGAGGTGTGAATTACCATAATCCTTTTCAAGCAGCGGATGTTTGCTGCACTGCGGTTGGAGAGGGGTTTAAAGAGCTGGAGAAGCCAAAACGTTATTTTTTACGTCTTTTTGGGGTAAAAACAAAAAGATGTTTTCCAAGTACACACTATCTATAGATTTCCCGCCCACCTCTGAAAGAGATACCTGCCAATCCTGCCTTTTTGTTCTAGGGTCCCCCCCCCCCCCGCAAGGATTTCTCTGTAGAGCTTTGGAGCCTGTCCAGGAACTAGCTCTTGTAGACCGGACTGGCCTTGAACTCACAGAGATCCTCCTGCCTCTGCCTCCCGAGTGCTGGGATTAAAGGCGTGCGCCACCACCACCCGATTTGTTCTTAGGTTTTTTTTAACTCCTCAACCTCCTGCACCTGTAAAATACATGGATTACAGGTATAGGCCACCAAGCCAGTCTCATTTTTGACAACTTTGGATACTTGTTTTATTTCCTTATTATTTTTCTCCTGAGTAATTTTCTGCTGGAAATTTAGCTTCATATCTTGATAAAGATCTTTAGCTTTTTAAATTTTGTGCCTAACCAATTTATGAAGTGACATTATTTTATTAAGTGAATTACGTGTTTTGAATGGACATTAACCTGTATATTTATAAGACTGCTCAGTAATCAATTCACCGACTTGCAACTCTTCAAATAACCAGGGGAAATTACATTCAGCCTAAACCAATTCAATATTTTGATTTAAAAAGCGCAGGTGTCGGCAGGATTCACGAGTACCTGGAATAACAATGTAACTTCCCTAAGAATGATAATGGTCCCATTAACCGGAAGAGAGCTTAGGCCCGGCACGGGGGTGGGGTGGGGTATTTAAAAAGCCTCAGGTAGCCAACCTCTGCAGGTCACTTCTCAAGTTTCTCAGGTAGAAAGGCGATGTGGGTTGGACGTCCCCGGGTCCGGGTCCGCGGAGGCCGCGGGGGTCGCGGGTGTCGCGGGGGCCACAGGGGTCGTGGGGCCTCGCCGTCGCTGCTTACCTTCAGTGCAGCGGCCCTGAGTGGAGGCTGCGAGCCCGCGGCGGCCTCACCCCCAGCTCCTCTCTGCGTGGCGAGCATCCACGTCCAGAGCGCCGAGCAGCGCCCCTCCGGTCCCACGGAGAGCGCGGAGCAGCGCCCCTCCGGATCCACCGAGAGTGCGGAGCAGCGCCCCTCCAGTCCCACGGAGAGCACGGAGCAGGGCCCCTCCGGATCCACCGAGAGCGCGGAGCAGCGCCCCTCCGGTCCCACCGATTGCGCGGAGCAGCACCCCTCTGGTCACCCCGAGAGCGCGGAGCAGAGCCCCTCCGGTCACCCCGAAAGCGCCGAGCAGCGCCCCTCCCGTAACACCGACACCGCGGCGGACGCGGGCCCGGGCTCGGCGCGCCCGCTGACGTCAGTGCTTGCGCCGGAAGTTCCTTCGAGGAGAGCGGACGTCTGCCTTCGCGGGTTTCTGCCGCTGCTGCGGAACGGAGGTGAGCGAGTCGCTCTCCCCAGAGGCGCGAGGGGCGCATGCGGCGGGAGGGTTGCCGGGCGGGCGTTTCCTGCCGCGTCGGAGGTGTGCATTCTGCGCTCGTGGTGGAACCTGGAGAGACCCAGTGGATTTGGGCGGAAAACAAAGTCTTGAGTGTGAGACACAGGTTCGGCTTCTTATTGGCAGTTTAATGTGCAAAAACGAATACGAAGCTAGGTAACTTGAGTGGCTCGAGGTCAGTCAGGAAGTCTGTGGTATTTATGTTTGGACATACCCGGCTCCTTACTAGGCACTTTGAGAGACTGAAAAAGTGCAAAAATAGCCCATTTACTGTTGAGAATCTCAGTGTGGCCGGGGAGACAAAGCCAGCGTGGGGAGAGTTGGATTCACAGAGTGACCCATTCTTGAGTACTGGCATGGACAGATGTCGAGCTTCTTGGTTCCTTTCCGCTCTCTCTCCCCTCCTCCCGTAAATACGGAATGGGCACGCGCTGATTATTCCTTAAGAGGTCGTCCTAGGCCGTTCATTTTTACAGAGAAATCAGGAAATAATGCATGGTAGTTTATACTTAACTTCTACCCAGCAGCACACCCAGACCAGGCCTGTAACTACCCCCTGGGAACCTGCGTGTCAGCAGCCCGAAGCCCAGAGCCGGTCCTGAAGCCTGCACAATCAATCCTGACTGAAGCGGAGGGACGAAGTGCAATCCACCCAGGGCGCAGCAGAGTTTTGAGAGGCACTAATGCCTTGGCGTCCACCAAGGGACCACTGGCAAACTTGTGGCCAGCCAAAACTACCATGCTTCCCATCCCGGTTGTGCTTGGTTATCGCCCACGATGTAAGCCCCTTTTCTATGCGTTATTTCACCTCCATGCTGTTTTGTGCTTCCTCTCCCTTGATTTGGGGTATCACCGCTTTTTCAGTTCACCCCCGAGGACACTGTGCTCCGTGCAATCGATTTTGTCCGCTTACCAAACTCACATATTTAAGCCTTGCTTTGAGATTGTCTTTCATTTTCAACCTTAGGTGTAGCTTTCGCCTTTAAATTAGCTTGTTTTCTAACACCTGTGTTCTAAGATTGGCTGTTACTCCGTCGATACCTGATTGATTGCATTTTCTTAAAATTCTTTTTTTATCCCCTATCTTCAATATCTTGCTTCCTTTTGGGTCCTCTGATTTATAGGCCCACTTCTCTCTCGTTCCAGTAATATAAGTCCCATTCTTATCTTTTTTTTCACCTCTAAGCAGGGACTCTCAGTGTGGCCCAAACTGGCCTGGAAGTGGTGAGCCTCTTCTGCCTAAGTCCTCCCGAGTTCTGATTACTGCCCTTTCTCAAGCTTAGCAGTGCTCTATTTCTGAGTAGTCCCCTCCCTAACTTCCTAGAGTTAGTTAGGGTTCTTTAAGTGTTGTTTATTTCCCTCCTACCATGAGTCAGTTGGTTTCTTAATTGTTTGTATCTTTTGTCTTTACAATGATGTTAAACTCTGAGGGAGGCTGTGTTTGTCTTGCTTATCTCTGGAATGCAGCTTTCTGTCGTTTTAAGGGTTAATGAATATGTAAGCAGCAGGAATTGGCTGCCTGCTACTTAGCTATAACAAATGGATGATTTGTGAGGTGTGATCTCGGTCATCCAATTTGTTCAAGAAACAGTTCAAATTTTTTTTTTTTGTATATTTGGGAGTGGTGGCTGGTCTCAAATTCAGCCTGCTTCTGCCTCCCAATTGTTTGAAGGTGTTCAAATGCTATTAATAACAACAAGAACAAACCTTCAACAACTACAAACCCTATACCTCAGAAACCAGGTTTCTGGATTTCTTTGTGTAGCCCTAGCTATTCTGGAACTCACTCTGTAGATCCAGCTGCCTCTGCCTCTGCCTCCTGCGGTCTGGGATTAAAGGCATGCACTACCACACGTGGTTTGTATCTCAGCTTTTAAGTGTTTTTCCGATAAAAGTCACGTTGCCTATCGATTACTAATTTGGGATCTCTTTTGGGTGTTGGAGAGGACTGGTGATGTAAGAATAACAGATTTATTTATTTATTTTGGTTTTTCGAGACGATTTCTCTGTAGCTTTGAAGCCTGTCCTGTCACTTGCTCTGTATAGACCAGGCTGGCCTCGAACGTGCGGAGATCCACCTGCCTTGTCTCCCAAGAGCTGGGATTAAAGCTGTGTGCCACTACCACCCGGACAATCTTTGGCTCTTAATTGTAGATACTGACTTGATCTGTTTTATCATCGTTGGCATTATACCAGATTTTAGTTCGGGTATATAAAGTCACATTACAGAATAAATCAGATAACAGCATAGTATTTAAAACTGACGGGATAGTGGTTGCGTACAACTTTAATCCCAGCCTTCAGAGGTAGGCAGATCTTTTCTGAATTTGAGGCCAGACTGCTCTATTGAATGAGTTCCAGGACAGCCAGGGCCACACAGAGAAACCTTGTTTTTAAAAAACAACGACGACGAATCAACAAAATTGTCTTTTCCTGTGTGCCAAATATTACTAATAACACTGATCAAAACTAGAGGTCAGACCTGTTAGAAATCAGAAGTCGACAGGCCATAGAGGTATAATGGAATCTTACGTTTTTATCTTACTAGTCAGAAAGGGAAATTGGAGTCATTCTGATACTATTCTTTTTATTTTAACTTTTTGCCTTTTAATTACATTTTATTTGTGTGTATGAGGAAGTCAAAAGACAGTTTAGAAAAGTTAGTTTGCTCTATTGTATGAGTCTTGGGAGAATTGAACTCAGGTAGCAAGTGCCTTTGATGGCTGAGATATCTCTAATATTTTTAGGAATAAAATATGAAGTAAAGCAATATTTTAAAAAACAGTATTTGCCTCAGCTGCTGGTGGTGCATGCCTTTAATCCCAGCACTCGGGAGACAGAAGCAGATAGATCTGTTCCAGGACAGCTAGGACTATCCAGAGAGACCTTGCTTTGAAAGAGTACAAAAAAAGAAACAACAACCCTAACTAAGATGACAATATACATTGCATGTAAATCATCCCACACTTGAGGTGATTAGTATTGTGAAGGAAGCAAGGCTGCAGGATCTGGTTGAGTGAATTAAAATATTTAGGTAAGAGCTGAGGAAGTTACAGAGATGTCTGGAGCCAACACAAATGCCTACTGCTCATTCAAGATATGAGTTTAAATGGGACTTTTCATTAGCTCTGGCTGAATATCAAAATAGCTAGTGGAGAATAAAAAAAATGTAAGAGAAAAAACTTGAAGATGGAAAAGGAACTGTCTGGATTATAATGCAGTTACCCTGTTGCCTAACCTACAGGACAATCAGTTTGAATAACATGGAAAAAGAATTGTATCATTTTGACTTAGATTAAAACTATGTTTGGTTGGGCACAAGGTCATTAACTGTGAGTTGGTTTTCTCAAATTCCTGTAACTTTCAGTCACAGTGCCAGTTCTCTGTTGAAATTGCACAGGACTAGGAATCCCTCAGTGGAGTGCTTTAAGGAGAGGTTTGTTTCCTTCTGCACTTGACTCATGGACAGTATTACTTAGACACTATTGATTATTGCATAAGAGTGAGATTCTTATATTTTGGGATCAACTTATTGGCATGCTTCTTTTTTTAATACTTTATTTTGTTTCATGTGCATTGGTGTTTTGCCTCCATGTATATATGGGTGAGGGTGTCAGGTCCTCTGGAACTTGAGTCGCAGACAGTTGTGAGCCGCCATGTGGAAGCTGGGATTTGAAACCAGTCAGTACTTTTTGACCACCGAGCCGTCTATCTCTGCAGCTCCTTGTTGGCACACTTTGAAAGGAAGTTTGCACTTTCCACATTGAATTCAAATTCTGTTCTCAGCTTTATTGTGACACAGAGAATTATTCTGGAATACTTTTAAAAATTAAGAAAAAATTTGTGTGTGTTTTTTCCAGATGCTCTTGGGTATGCAAAGGCCAGAGGAGTGTGTTTTCTTTCTTTTTTTTTAAAGATTTATTTATTAATTATGTATATGGCATCTGCCTGCATGTATCCCTGAAGGCTAGAAGTAGGCACCTGATCTTATTACAGATGGTTGTGAGCCACCATGTGGTTGCTGGGAATTGAACTCAGAACCTGGAAGAACAGTCAGTGCTCTTAACCCCTGAGCCCCAAGTGTGTTGTTTTCTATCACACTCCAGCTTGTAAGATAGGTCCCCTGCTGAACCTGTCCGCTCAGTTACTGGTGCTGTATGTGCGAGTGAGTCATATTGGGCTTTTATGTGAGTGGTAGGATTTAAACGCCTCATGCTTGAGTGAAAAGAGCTTTTAACCATGGAACCATCTCTTTCGGCCTAAAGTTCTTTTGCGACTCCAGTAATGGGAGGAGACTGTTTAGTGTCAGGAGTCAGTGTAGTTGATGGGTTGTGGGATGGATTGATTTCCAAAACCTGGATAATGTCATAAGCAACACATGCCACTAATCAAAATCAAAAGATTACTGTACTTAGGAATGCTCCTTGAATGACTTTGAAAATGTTGGTAGTATTTGTTTTTTTTTTAAAATATTTATTTATTTATTTATTTATTATGTATACAATATTCTGTCTGTGTTTATGCCTGCAGGCCAGAAGAGGGCACCAGACCCCATTACAGATGGTTGTGAGCCACCATGTGGTTGCTGGGAATTGAACTCAGGACCTTTGGAAGAGCAGGCAATGCTCTTAACCTC